GCAGTGGTGGTTGCGGCTGTGACGGTAGGGGCGAAGGTTGAGGCGGAGGACGTGGTGAATGCGGAAGCGAGGGCAAGGGCGGAGGCGGAGGCGACTCAGACGTCGGGGCTGGTGAGGGCGGGAAGGCACGACGCTTCTGAACGTCGTTTTTCGAGTCGCCTGCCGGAGCAGGGGTTAAGTTTTGGGATTAGAGGCGAAGTTGATGGAAAAGTATTCTGTCGTGTTCTAGAGCTGAGAGATTCACTCGCTATAAGAAAGTCTTACCAGACACTCATATTCTGGAGATTTTAGAAAGTACGTGGCAACTAAAACTGGATCAAAAATATGTTTTCACGACGAAAACATTATCTGAGGCTCTTTGCGACAGATACGGCGGGGAGGTGGAAGCAGAACATGAGGTCGCTCGTGTCACGATTGGCTGAATGAGATTCTGAATATACTATTGTAGAATATTGATAGAATTGATAATTACCTATAGTTAAATGTGTTTTCCAATCTAGTACTAACGGGAAAGGGTGCCGATATCAGCAATTTTTCCTCGAAGAAATAAAATATTTTCGTTATTCTCTGCCTTACCAGGTATTTTGCGCTCATGATATTGCAAATTTTATCTTTCTCAACGATAGTCTCCGTGCAACATACCAAAAAGTAGTTATCGCACAAAATTGTAAAAGAAAAAATTAGTAATCTTATTCAAATATTTCTAACCAGACAAAACTTTCACATCCAAAGTGTTAACTTTGAAAACAGATTCTGTCATGTTTTTCGAGAGGTCACAGTGTTTGCAAATTACTGATTATAGTTTGAAATATTTCATTTATTATTCGTGCATTGAATGTTCATACTCAACGTGTCACTGCTGACGTCATGCGACAGCAATTCGTCAAGAATGAGAACTTCCGTCGTTAAATATTTGCTATGCACGTTGTTATGGAATAACAACGTTCTTGGTATGTAAAGAAGTGTTGCATTGTGTATCTGTGTACATTGCGTTATTTCAACATTAGTGAATACTTGTTGTTAAAATATTAATTTTTGTTGCTATGTTATACAAGAGTATTGTTTTTTATCAGTGTGTGCATGATATTTTTGGACAACTATTTTGTGTGGTTTTGTTTAGTAGAAATTTTATTGGTGTAGGCTACTTGTTCTTTATACAGTTTTATTTCTTGTTTTATTGTTTCAATTACCAAAAAACAATCGGTGGCATAAAATTTCCATCTCATTGTTTTAATTGTGGTTGGATATCATCAAATATTGACGGCCTTCGAGATCGGCCGAAGTTCGAGTTCGGTAATGCGGACGAGCCTAACCAGTCTCGGTTAGGAAGGATTCGGATGCAAATAGCGACATTGGAATCGATGATTGCTTTATGTTGTGTGGCAAGGTTGGACTTCTTCCCAACCCCCTTGCATCACCTAATAAGAAACTAATCCTTCTCCTTCCTCTCTCTGTCCAAATTAATAGGCGGGAGAGCGTATACGACGGCTAGCGGTCAACTGGAGGATAACTGTCAAACGGACTGCAAAGTGTTTACCTGCTGACCGTTCCTGTATCTTCAGAACTGATGGGTTATGGACCACCGTGGCTTAAAGGTAAGGAAGGCTGGGATAGGTACCTCAGTGATATGAATGGCTGATA